AAGAGAACCAAAATCTAAGGACAACTTCCTGAACTATTCAGATCTTCTCTTCTCTGTCACAGTCTCTCTTGGTGTGCTAGCCAGCAGCTCCAATTGTACCACCCCAGATCCTAGATGAACTCTTCACCCAGCAATCTGGAGACTTTTCCTAAGCAGAAGATCTGGCTCCTGTCCCTTTAACTGAGGTGAACCATCACTGGTAGGGGCTAATCTTGTTTCCCAACACAGAGTGCTGCTTCCCCTATCTGCCTAGGGGATGCAGGTGTACTCAGGCAGATCCTCTTCTGTACTGCTTGCGGGATGGCTGCTGCTACCAGGCCTATCAGCTGGGCTGCTCCTTCCCTGCCATACAGGTGGTCCTCGCTTAGGGAGCCAGTGAGTCCAGAGTTTTCCTCCTTACCAGATTCAGGCTTGCAGGCAGGCCCCATCCCACTAGAACTCCTGGCAGCCTTTCTCCTTCAGCCTCACATCTTTCTGCTCCACACTCCTCTCCCATCCCAACACTCCTGCTACTGAGCAGGCTCTTCCACTTTTAAGGGAGTCCGAGCCCCTTGCCAAGCCTCCTGTTGGGGATTGGCTGAGGTCCCTCAAGAGCGCAGCCAGCCACTCATCAGATCCACCCACGGCCTCCAAAGCCCTCCTCCAAAAACCTCAGTTCTGTCAGAGTCTGTCAGCCCTGACCACAATTGGACTGCACTGGCTATTACACCTGAACTGCTAACAGCTCCTGTCTAACCATTAGGATATAGCTCCCCTAGCTGCACAATTTCATTTATGTACAGTGTTGCATGACCACACAATTGTCAACAGTGCCGTATCGCAAAAAATGGCCTGGCCAGGAAGGGGAGTAAATCTTCCAGAGGGTAAGTGGCTAAAATCCTTAGTGATGAATGAGGATGTAAGGGGCCATCAAGAGGTTTTTTTTTTCATTTTGATTTCTGTTTATTTCATACATCAATAAAATGAGCACCTAAGTTGTATTATGTGACACCTGGGATATGCTTGCCAATAACACATTTACCAGAAATCCTATATCATTTATTGAGTTAAATAGTGAACAATTTATGTTTATAACCTTTTCAACTCTTTCAGTGGAATTTTATTTTAAAGGGCATGCTTTCACACGAACTTCACATCTTTGTTAGGACACTCATTCTGAGTAAGACAAAATACAGCCAAACCAGGAATCAAGAGGTTTTGCCAGGAATGCAGTAACCTCATGTCTTTAAAAGTGGGGTTAAGTTTAGCTGATTCTATTATCAATAGATGAAATCTGCACTCTCAAGTATCTAAGCAGTTGGCTTTTCCAGAAATATGAAAATCTCTTTTTAACCCTTTCGCTGCCAGGTCTGTACGCCGTATGGACCTGACAGCAGGGGTTTTATACACACTCCGTGTACACCGGAATGAGAGCAACAATTCTAGCACCAGACCTCCGTAATGCTAAACTGATGACTTATGAAGCGTTGTCTATAGAAAATATAGGGTTGTGAAGTTTGTGGCATATTGGGTGTCTATTTACTCGGCACAACTTCAATTTTTATATTTTACAAAAAATTTGGGTAATTTATTGCATTTTGTTTGCTCTGAATTTAGTTTGATTTCTACTGAAATTATGTGTTTCGTAGACCTGTGCAATAATATTGTGTGATATAAAAAATTGAAACTACCACTATTTTATTCTCTAGGGAGTCTCCTTTCAGAAAATATATAATGTTTTCTGTTATTGTGTAATCTTCAGGACTAAAATGAATTTGTAAACATGCGTGCAAAAAATGCACAAACAGCTCTGCCAGCAAAAGGATTAAAGATCTGAAATGTGGGAGAGCTGAGTTTCTGACTCTTAAATAGTGGGGAGAAAACTTGTGAGAGAAAATAGAAGATTTAGCTCAGGCAATGAACCAGGCTTCACCTTTCATTTTATGCACAAATTAAAGAAGAGTTCCAGTTGTTTTGGGTTTTTTTTTTTTAAAAGTCAGCAGCTACAAAAACTGCAGCTGGTAGGTGGATATTTGACCCTCTTTATATCCTCTGCAATTACACAGACACTTGGACCAGAATGATGCTAAGTTAGGTACATTGGTGTACCTAAATATCTTTGGGAGTATGATCTTGACAGTAATTCACACATTGTTCTAAACAGTTAAAAATGCATTGTGTATAATAATGATTAATATTTGTTGGAATTTTGTTTGATTTATACTTTTGATATAATTGCAGACTGTACTGCGGATAAGTCATCCCTTCCGCTGAAGAAGCCCAGGTTGGGCGAAACATGTAGGGAAGCTACATTCTTCCTCAATAAACAGCGAAGTCTATCTTGATTATCTAGAACCATTGTACCTATTTACAATTTTAATATTGGTTTGTAATACAATTGAGATAAATCCTTTTTAACAATACTATATTTGTTTGTTTTCCCAGCACCTTTAAAGTCCCATGATTTCCACATTTTCAGATTCTACCTATCAGTGCAGTCTCATCAGCACACATCAGTGAAGGAAAAAAATTACTTTTTTACAAAATGTTACAACAGAAACTAAGATTTTTTTTTCAAAATAGTTAAATACCACCAAAAGGAAGCTCTATACGTCTCAAAAAAAATTTAAAAATTGAATTTGGGTACAGTGTTACATGAGCGCGAAATTGTCATTCAAAGTGTGACAGCAATGAAAGCTGAAAATTGGCCTGGGCAGGAATGGGGTGAAAGTGCCGGTAGACAAATGGAAAATCAGTGTGAAAGCAGACTAATAATGGTAACCTTTTTATAGCCAATATGCCCATTGCAAAAGAACAGTGTAAGTGTTGTTTAATATGCTGATCTTTTCCTCTTCCAGCTTCTGCTGGCATCGATCTCCAGGCTGCTAGAAAGGTTCTAGGTACTTCGTATCATTCCAGCAGGATCAGGAGCCAGCGCTACAGAGGAAGCATTGGCTTATGCTGCTCCTGTTTTCTCTGCAGCTACCTGCTTCCTCCACTGCCGGCTCCAGCTCGATGCTCTGTGATGCTCTGGGATGGTGGGTTGGCAAGCCCAAATTGCTCATACTGGGTGCATCCCTGGTTTGAGTTAGAGGGCCACATCAGAGGGCTCTGAGGACCACATCAGAGGGCTCTGAGGGCCACAGGTTGAGCACCCATGGTGTATGCTATGCAGCTGTCAGCTCTATCCCAGCATTAGCAGTCACTGAGTCACTTACCTGAATAGGTAAAATATAAAAGCCCTATCCTGGCCTCCTGGTCTGCATATTTTTTACAGGTCACTTTGTCACTAGGCGAAGAAGCCAGGATCAGCATAAAAGCCAATGATTCTGGGGCTCTAAAACTAGATCAGGCGTGGTAGCTCCCATATTTTTATTCCTACAGATTCCCTTTAAAGTGAATATTTCAGAATTAACTAATGGTTTGTTAGCTATTTGTAGACCATTAGTGAATTTTCATATTTTTTGGACCATTAATGAAATTTCACAAACCAAGCAAGCACAGGTAAATTTCAGGAAAAACGAAAATTACTCCTTTAGTACATCAACCCTGATGCGCCTATAAAGACTGACATTTGCAAGTGTCTTCAACCATGTGAAACCTTGGTTGCTATGGTAACCTTTTTCCCTCCTGAACAAGTGAGTGAAATAATTGAAGAAAGTGCGTATAAACTGCTTCTGCATAAGTTATGAGCACCCTAGAGAAAGAAAGTAATTAGAATTACGTTAGAAATTAAAAATATATGTCCCTACATAATCAGAAATGTTATTAAAATCAACCATTTATAATACACTGTAAAAGAGTTTGCACTTTATTTATCTGTCCTTTCTGTTGAGCCAAAAAAAGGCACGAAATTAATTACATTATCCAACACTACTAGTATGAAGTTAATTCCATAGCAATTAGGAAATAACTCAATCCAGGACACTGGACATAATTCATATGTGGGCGATTTTATAAAACAAGTGTACCACTTTCCCATCTTTGTACATTATTTTAGCAGAATCAGAAAACACATTAATCACTACAGTCATTTATTCACGATGGGCAATAAAATTAAGCTGGAAGGATGATGTTGAAAGTAGACAATTATATTAAGATGCCTGACTCAGAGAATGATCTATGCTCTAGTGCACAGGCTGTACTACACAATCTTGTTATATATATTATCAAAGTTTACCTTGTCCATCCTGCTACGACTCTATTCAACATGGGGCTCTGTGTGCAGGAAAACAAGTTTACTACTGCCACATACAGTATATCCAGACCTACAGCTAACCGTCTTAGCTACATACTATCCATGAACATCTCTGCAGATTATCAAAGCTCTCCCTAGTAGGTGCAGCTCTCTATATTTCCTCCCATGACATCTACTGCCACTTTACTGACATGCATGCACTCTCTAATTTCCCTAATCCAGTTACATTACTTCTAACAGAATTTTATTATATCAAATTTCCTAATGGGGATTCATTGACGCAGTTTAACCCTTTCCCTGCCAGAGCTGTTTGTGCGGGGGGAATGGGGGGGGGGGGGTTGTACACATATTTAACCACTTCAAGTCCGGACACTTTCACCCCCTCCCTGTCCAGGCCAATTTTAATCTTTCAGGGCTATCACACTTTGAATGACAATTGCGCGGTCATTCAACACTTTATTCATATGAATTTTTTAGCATTTTTTTTGAGACAGATAAAACTTTATTTTGGTGGTATTTATTCACCACTGGGATTTTTATTTTTTTGCTATAAAAAATGAAAAAGTCCAAACATTTTGAAAAAAAAAGTGTTTTTCTTATCAAATAAATAATCTTTCTTCATAAATCTTGGCCAAAATGTATTCAGCTATCTTTTTGATTAAACAAAATAACCCAAATTAGTAATTTAACCAAAAATTATAATTTTTCTAAAACATTTTTTCCATTTTTATTTTTTTATATTATTATATATTTTTTTTAACATACTGTCACCCTAGCACCATAGTGACACTGTGCTTCCTGTGGGGGGTGATGATGATTTTTTTCTTTTTATCACTGATTGCTTTTACAAACATAAAGGCTGTAAAAGCAATAATTTCTCCTTCTCTCTGGCTCCATTCTTGCAACCATTGAGAAACAATGTGAGAGCTGTGATTGGTCACAGCTTGTCACGTGGCACAAGGCTGTTGTGAATAGCCCTGTACCATGTGACCTCTGCGATCATTCACAAATTTCACATGTAGTAAGCAAAGATGTCAGAAGTTATATCTTGCTTACTACTGTGCATGTGATCACTGATTGGCCAAATGATTGGGACCTCACGACGATTGGTGTTCCACTGTGTCTGGAGGACACAGCGGGCACCGGACCGTGGTGCTGCGTGCTCCCAGGGAGCGCGCACAAGCCGGGGGCGGGGAGGCCATTCATTCACAGATTTCACAAGTAGTAAGCAATGATGTCAGCAAGTGACATCTTGCTTACTACTATTCATGTGATCACTGATTGGCCAATCAGTGATCATATGATCAGGACCACACACAGAGGTTCTGTACAGCGATCAGTGTTCCACTGTGCCCGGATCACGGTTCCGTGTGCTCCCAGGGAGCTTGCACAGGCAGAAAATGCGGAGGTCGTTTATATATGGCCACCCGCTCCTGCACTGCCCCCGTTCGGCCGTTTATGTACATGGGCCAGACGGGAAGTGGTTAAACAATCATTTTAGGCCTGAAGATTGCAAACCCTCAAAACATTATATATTTTCTGAAAGCAGACACCCTACAGAAAAAAAATAGTGGTAATTCCAATTTTTATATCACATAATATTACCACAAAAGTCTAGGGCAGCCTTTTTCAAATAGGGGTGCCTTCAGGTTTCTTCAGGGGTGCCTTTTGCAAAATGCCTTAAAATTGCCATAAAACTGTGCAAAGGTCAGCAGGTAGCTCAAACCTGCTTTTTAGTTACACAAAGCCACTGGTTTTCATTGTGCTCTGTTACAACTTTCTAGCTGTCGGCATCCTAACAACCAATGACGTCAACAGTTGATAAGGAGGACAGCATGCACGCACACATCAAATTAAATTAAACAAAAAATGGAGGTATATCACTCTGACCAATAAGAGTTTTCCTGATGTGCTGTCAGTCTAACACTGTGACCTTGTTGGGGAGAGTACAAAGATGACCACATCAGAGTGTTGCTACATGGTCCAGTGAGTCCTCATGCACACCGGACATTTTCATAACGTTGGTAACGTTAGCTGTGTAAAGTCACGTTAAAAATGTGAGTTTTTTCAGCTTTTTTTAGCATTTTTGCATTAGTGGAGTTTGACGTGTTTTCCCACATTTTTCCGCGTTTGCGGTTTTTCCCATCTTTTTGGGTCAAAAAAAGTCCAAAAACGCCAGTTTGTGGCGTTTTACCGCATTTTACCTCGTTTTGCCGCGTTTTTTCAGTTTTAGAGCGTTTTTACAGCTAAAAAAACTCCTCTTGAAACTCACTAGTCCTGGATTTTTTTTCCAGCCACAAAGCATCCCAGCAAAAAACACATTGATTACAATCTGTGTGTGTATGGACACATAGGATAACATGCTGGAGGGTTTACTAGCTGTCGGAAAAAAACGTCAAAAGCCAAAAACAGAAGCTGTAAAAACGTCAAATGTGCATGAGGACTGATACGTATCTGTAACATAGTCTCCAGGAAGGTCCAGGAGCTAGCTGTGCTGACTGAAAGCAGAGTCTAGATCACAAGACTGGCTGAACAGATTAACAACCCTTTTTAAATGTAAGGAAGTTCAAATATTTGCATTTTAGTGGTGAATATAGCGGTTTCCCTGCAGTTCCACCTTAAAATCTTAGCTGCATATGCTACATATAATCATATATTCTGATGAAATAACTGATACTCTATATTTAAATTCTCAATGAGGTGAATACACCTAAAAAGAACATTTAATGAGGAAATGGGCAATAAAGTCAATTGAAACAGATTGAATACTACAGAAGAAAATGAGTTTTTTCAGAATGTCATTGTTCTGTCTAGGAATACAATTTCCTGCTTTAACAGCTTAGATCTTTATCCTGTGTCCCACTGTTCAGTCATCATTTTCTTACTGGAATATAGGTTATCTGCAGTCATATCTACATATAATAAAATCTGAAAGGCGATTCATTAAATATTTACATCAGTGCGCAATCAGCAAAACCCAGCACTAAAAGAAGACAAAGACATTTTAACTGCCAAAGATTTATTGAAAAGATTATATAGTTTTAAAGTACTGTATAACTAAGATTTCCCCGGGGATCTTTTTTTCACAAAAATATAACCATTTACCAAAAACATGTCTTTTCTAAATGTACTCCTTAGAAGGTAGCATATTTAGCTGTACTTTATACACATTTCTGAATATGAGTGTCCTAAGATGTTATGGGAGCTTACACTGGTGACTTATTCCTTTGAAAATGCTAGCTGTCTTCCCCCCACTATGAACTGTGAACCCCAGACAGGTACTGTATAAAATACACATACAGTAATAATGTAACTCAGTATTCATAAATAAATGAATACATTTTTTATAAATGTAGCCAGTGTGAGCACTTGAATTTGACTTGGTATTAGTCTCTCTCAATACTGTATCCAACAGCACTCAGATTGGGAAAGGGAAGGCCAGGACTGGGAGCCAAGTAGGTGTGCTGCATGCACATGTGCTCACAAGTAGATGATGATAGGAGGAGAGAGAAGAGTGAGTGAGCATCAGTCTATAGCTGGACGTTTTGGAGACACACACCCCTATAGGTTCATTATTAACCACTTCCCGTCCAGCCATTGTATATAAGCGGCCGGACGGTCACAGTGCAGGGTCGGATGGCCGTTTATAAACGGCCTCCCCGCCCCCTGCTTGTGCGCGCAGCACCACGATCCAGTGCCTGCTGTGTCCTCCGCACACAGTGGAACACCAATCGCCATACTGGACCTGTGTGTGAGGTCCCGATCATGTGATCACTGATTGGCCAATCAGTGATCACATGCAGAGTAGTAAGCAAGATGTCACTTCTGACATCTTTACTTACTACGTGTGAAATCTGTGAATGATCACAGAGGTCACATGGTACAAGGCTATTCACAACAGCCTTGTAACATGTGACAAGCTGTGACCAATCATAGCTCACACAGTATTTCTCAATGGCTGCAAGAATGCTGCCAGAGAGAAGCAGAAATAATTGCTTTTACAGCCTTTATGAGTGTAAAAGCAATCAGTGTAAAAAAAAAAAAAAAAAAAATCTTCATCACCTCCCACAAGTACTTGACACTGTACTGATAGGGTGACAGTATGTAGAAAAAAAAAACATAAATAATATAAAAAAATAAAATAAAAATGTAAAACAATTTTTAAAAAATTATAATTTTTGGTTATAAACTAATTTGTTTTTTTTTTCTACTAAAAAGATAACTAAATAAATTTTGCTCAAGACTTTTGATAAAATATTATTTATTTGCAAAATTTTATAAGAAAAACACTTTTTTTCAAAATTTTTGGACTTTTTCATTTATATAGCAAAAAAATTAAAAATCCCAGTGGTGAATAAATACCACCAAAATAAAGCTTTATCTGTCTAAAAAAAAAAAGCTAAAATATTCATATGGGTACAGTGTTGCATGACCGCGCAATTGTCATTCAAAGTGTGATAGCACTGAAAGCTGAAAATTAGCCTGGACAGGAAAGGGTAAAAGTGTCCGGACTTGAAGTGGTTAAAGGAGAAGTACAGATAAAACTCTCTTGACTATACTTCTCCTGTGGATTACAGGAGTGCAGTGCAATCTGCACTCCTGTGACCCGTTTTCAGCGGACAGTAGGCTGAAGCCTGCTCTCGGCTGATGTCACTCAGCTGGTCCAGGCTGGGGAAAGATCCCTACTTTAAAGTCAGGATCCACCCCAGAGTCTGGAGCGGCACCTAGCTCAGCAGACAGCAGTGACTGACAGCTGTGAGAACTCATGTGATCGCTGACAGATGCAGCATCGAACCAGTGCTGCATCCACCAAGGTAAGTATGATTTTTTTTTTTTTTTAAAAGAAATGCCATGCTTCTCTTTTAAATAAAAAACGACAGTTACTTTAAAGTGGAACTAAAGTTCCACTTTCAGAAACTGTGAGCAGGCAGTCTCTTTATAGCAGAAGAAGCATGCAATGTCTATGTGCTGGAATGACTGCACTCCAATGAAGACTGAGCTCTGCAGTCACTTTTGTAGCAGTTCTCCTCTTATTCGGGGTTACAATTCTTTTTGTCTCTTTCGGTCACTTGACCATGACAACCATGGTGATGCTTATCAGACAACGTTTTCCCAGAAACTGTATATGCCATCATAACTTTTGATACTGTTCCTTGTGACATAGCAAATAAATCGGCTACTTCATTCACAGAGGCTCCAGCTAAGCGGGCACCATGTAGTGTTTCCATTTATTTTTCTAACCCCTGTATTTCATTTATATGGGGGCTAAAAAGTAAAAATTTTTAAAAAATGGAGTTCTAATTTAAATAATTTTTCATATTATGCATCGTGGTTGACATTGCTGACTCTGTGTCTAGTTCCATCTAAGTTGAATAGGGATGTTTGAAGAATTCCTGCAGCATTTACATAACATATTACATTTCCTGCAATAAGCAATTTTTTTAAGGTTTTGGCATTTTGGAACCCCTTCCCAAACAAGGATCTCAAATATGTGAGCACTTTGTCTATTGTTCTTACTACTCTATTCACTTTTGTAGCTGTTCTGTGACCCATTTCAGCTTTACTGCTGCTCTGTAGTTAATAAGGTGGCTTTATCTGCAGTTTCCACTGCTACTGCAATTTCTATTGCCTGCTTGAAATGTTATCTTCTATCAGCAGCCTTTGTAGCTTTCACTGCATAATCTACTATAAAATCTGCCTCTCAAGAAATCAAGTCCATCTTTAAATCACCTTTACTGCAGCTGCAAAACCCAAAACAATCTCACCCTCTATCCAGCCTGTTTAGTGAAATCCTAATCTTTCTGTCAGGGGCTTTCCTAATATTTCCTGACCACATACATAACACTTTAAAGGCAATTTCAGCTGCTCAGAAATGGCCACATGGATGACTTCAAACAGAGGCCATCACTTTTATCGGCTCCATAAAAATATACTACTGGGCCGACAATGGGTTGTCTTGATCTGTTTGGTTATTTTAGCAATTTAAATCTGGCTGAAAGTGATTGAAAGATCCTGGAAACTTCAAAAAGGTGGACCTTCACATTACAATCTGATTGAACAATCTGCTTTAGATTTATAACCAATTAGAGTGAGGGTCTACCTGGTTGTATATTAATTTTAGTTATTATTAAGGCAGTGCCTAGCACTACATAGCTAGTGGTAACACTAAAGGCATTTTTACAGAGATTACACATTAGTAACAGGCATGTTCAGCTTAAAGTGGTATTAAAGTTTCTATCCAGGCCCCCTCAGTAAGCCGGCTGCTGAGGTAGCATCTGTGCAGTCATGCTCTCAAGCTGGGCTGCGAGCTTCCATAGATACACACAGCTCCCTCCTCACAGGATTTGATTGACAACAGTGGGAGCCTATGGCTCCCACTGCTCTCAGAGTCTCTTGTGAGACATAGAAGAGAGAGCTGCAGCTGGATTGAGAGAAGACTCAGGTAAATGTTTAGGTATTGGGTAGAATGGGTAGTATTGGGAGGTTTTTATCTTAATGCAGAGAATGCATTAAGGCAAAAAACCTTTTGAGGTTGGAAGCATTTTAAAGCTGAGTCAATGATGGAGAAGGTCTGGGTGTTCTGGTTTTAATACTACAGGGATGGGTCTCACCAGTCTTCTGACAAGATTCCAGGGAATGTCAAATTACTACAAGCTAATGCTCCATCACAATGCAGAAGGCTCTTCCCTGGAGATATGAGCTACTCCACATCTTGAACCACAGACAGAAGTAGGGTAAAGGTAAGTATACCAACTAGCTTTTTTTTTCCACCCACAGATTTGTTTTTTTTATGTTGTGCAGTGCTTTCACATAGGGGAGGGGACTGTCAGTGAATTAGCAGCCCTATATATCTTAATGAAATGTCTGCTTTATTAAATACATGTAATATCAGCGGCAGTCTCTAGAGCACACGTTGGTTATAGACATACATTGTAGATTTGTTTTTTTTTTTCGTTCAGCCTGCATGCTGAATGAAAAAAAAAAAATCTAACAAATTCCTTCATCTATGCTAAACAATGTGAATGAATCTCCTGATGTGGCTACTGTACTCTTACAGCCAGCAATGCCAGCTGTCACAGTACCCAGACAGTGTCTGTATGTAATTGAATGCAGGCACAATTCAATTGACAATTTTCATCCAGCTCCTTTGATTTTTCAGTCAAAGGATGTCAGGTAGGAGGTTTCCAACAGGACCACCTAAAGAAAGAAATTCTAGTTGATCATCAAGACCACACAAAATTCTCTCCCTGCATAGTCAGCCTAATTATGTAACCAAATTAAACACGGTGATATCAACATGGCACAATATATTCTTGCATTAGGATCCAGGAAAACAAAGGTTTGATGGTTTATATAATAAATATAACACTTGTATATGTATAAAAATAAAACATAAAAAATGTAAATATGTGTTATATCTAATACCCATCATCAATGCTGCCACCTTAAAATAAGATCTAAAAAATCTACAACTCCAACCTCGAAGTAGTGGCGTGACTTATTATTACCACATTAATGAAAATAAAGTGCATAAAATATAAAGTTCATATGAAAAGTCCATACAAAATCCAAAAACTGTGCAAGAAAGCTTCACAAATCATCACTTGCATGTGAGATCCCTCTTCCTTCAGGTAAGTTTCTTCACATGCCCAAATGGTGATTTCTGAAAACGTCAGTTTTGCACAGTTTATGGACTTTGTATATGAATGTTAGCTGCCTGTAACTGTGTCGGGAGCACGCAAGGTGTGTGCTTTTGGCACAGTTCTGGATTTTTTCGATAAAGATCTAAGAGGTCCCTCTGCGTTAAGGCTCACCTGCCAAGAGGCCGCATATATATGTGTGTGGACGGCGGGAAGGAGTTAAGCTATGTAAACGTAAAAAGTTTCAATCCATGTTCAGTAACATGCTTTTTTTCTTTTTTCATGTTGTTCCAGAAGTGAAGAATGGATTTGTAGTTAACACCCAGAGAAAGAATATTAGCATTTTTGCTTTAGTCCTTTTTTTTTTTTAAAAATTGTAGATAAAAAAAAAAAAGATTGGGAACATTGCTTTTTAGGATTATAAAGAATGTCGTGACAGTGAGAACAAAGTGGGAAGATTATGGATATTGTATACTTACAAAAAGTAATAATTATACAGTATATTGCCCTATTAACAGCTTCAGTGACTGACAGTATATCTCTTGTATCCACAACTGGATTATCTTGAGTAATTGATGAAAACATCATAGAGGTGAATAAACCACACAGCACACAGCTGCCAATTGTGTTTGCTGTGTGACTATTTTTTTATATGAAGGTGAACATGACTGTTCAGAGAATGATTATCATTCTTTTTAACAGAAAAATAGAATCACGATCCTTCACATTGTAGACCATGTTGTGTGGGCATCCATCTGTGCCCAAGCTGCTCAGCCAAGCATCATCTGATATAAGAAAAAGGAAATTATTTGTGGCAAGTAGTTTTGCATGTGTACTTACATCAGCAATGGCTGAATGCACACAGAAGTCCTGCTTTGCCCATTGCTGATGAACTGTGCCTCATTGTGGTTCAGTGGGAATTGCTGAAAGTAAGCAGCATATGAAATAAGTTCAGACTAACCCATAGTCTTGGCTACAGAGGCAAAAGTACACATGTAAAACTACATGTAAAAAATATATACAGGAATTTAATCATAAGCATGACCATAGTTCAGCAGTGTGATTTACTATAATGTATATTTATTATTAAGCAATAACCTGATCATAAGTTATCAGTCACTATATCAGTTCCTTCACTTACCATACAATTTTGATTCAAAAGATTTAGCTATCCCAAAGAACTTCACCATCTGCAGTTTGTCTTCTTGCAGAATACATTGCCACAGATGAATTATAACAGAACACACAACATACAGGAGGATCCTTAAAAGTGGTGTCTATTATCCATTCAAAAGGAAAGCAACCACTTATTGGGCTGGATCATACTTCAGAGAACTCAGGCTCAGCTCACCCAGAAATAGTGCCATGACCACTCTGTTCTATGGGTAGGTGTAAACATACTCCACTGTCTGTTAACACCCAACTACCCTCCAATCCAATCCACCTAAATGGAAGAGGACTGGTTTCCTTCTGTTTTGTTTTGGAGCGGACCAGATTGGATGTGGAGGTAGGTGGGTGTAAACGGACAAACGTCAGTAAGGATGAATGGACCATCTGATCAGGTCTGCCTGAAAAGCTGACAGGTGGACCTGATTGGATCTCCCATGTAATTATGCAGTGCAAAAACTGTATATGGTTGGCAGGTTAATTTAAAGAGCAATAGTTATATTTAAATCTTTAGAGGATTACATACACTAGGAATATCTAAAAACTGGAGCAAAGCAAACAAGAGTTAATGCCCTTGTTCCATTGTGAGATTAAAGCAAATTTTGCTGCTATGGGTAGGAATAACACTTTTTTCACAATGAATTAGCAAAAAAACAAATTACACTGCATCACAGAAGATTTGAGTCTGCATTTCCAAGGTGGATCTAACACCTGGGTAGCCTTTGCAGGTGTACAGGGACCTTTGAATTCCTGGGGACTATCAGCATCTCCTCTAAAGCTCCTGAGTGAGGTAAGTAGCTACTGACCAACAATGTAACAGGTCCTTTCCCATACTACTGGCCACTAATGTAATAGTGGGCCTTCTCCCACTGACCACCATTGTAACAGGGGCCATTCTCCCACTGACCATCAATTTCAGAAAGATGGTCAGGGAAAGATTAGAACAACCTGTCAGGTGTTTACCATTTTCTGTGTCTATACTAGTAGATTCACCCTCTCTATTTCTCCTTGGACCTTTGTCATTGATATTGAGAGTGATGGGAAATCCAAAATTTCACAGTTGTAACCAGAAAGAGAGGTGAGGGTTTATCATTCAATATGGACACATTTCTGTGACAATAGTCTAAAAGGGAATATATATCCAGCCCAGTTTAACTTGGGGGCAAATCTAGGCTTGTTTCCTGCCTTGACGACTTCCAAATGAAAAAGAGGGGAGATCACACACAATGGAGGTCTATTCAGCAATATTTTCACCTAAAATACACACAACTTTCACACAATATCAAGTTAATATGGGGGGAATCCTGGGCGAAAGTTGTGTGTATTTTAAGTGAAAACATTGCTGAATAGGACCCTGTCACAAACTGCCAGTGCCTCTCCCATCCCCCGCCATATCCCTTAACCCCTCCCTTCCTCCTTGTACATTAGAAGGTCTGTGGGGCTTCCATGGACAGGGCTGGGCCAGCCGTTGCCGAGGCAACCTAGCCGCGTCCCACATGATCTTCAAGAGACCCACACAGGAAGCAGCCTTCCCTTTTTGTTCCTGGCCATGTGGGTAGAATCATCCTGCTCCCAGAAAGATGTTGGGAGGCTCGGGTGAGGGGGACCAAGCCTCCCCAGCCATCCCCCCTGCGCACTCTTCAGACCCCCAAAAGGTCAGGACTCTAGCCCTCTACAATACCCCAGGGTTGGGAGTCTCCACAGCTCTGCATGAGCCTTCTCCTCAAAGATCAGACCCCACAGCTGAGACCGTGCCAGTCTGTAAGCTTGTCTACTGAGCACCCTTGCACCCTGCCTGCTGCTGAGTGCCCTGGGAGCTGTGTCTGAGGGACCCTGCACACTATCCATGGCTGCGTGTCCCTGGAGGCTGTCTGCTGCTGAGTGCCCTGGGAGCTGTGGCTGAGGGACCCTGCACACTATCCATGGCTGCGTGTCCCTGGAGGCTGTCTGCTGCTGAGTGCCCTGGGAGCTGTGTCTGAGGGACCCTGCACAGTATCCATGGCTGCGTGTCCCTGGAGGCTGTCTGCTGCTGAGTGCCCTGGGAGCTGTGGCTGAGGGACCCTGCACACACTATCCATGGCTACGTGTTCCTGAAGGCTGTCTGCTGCTGAGTGCCCTGGGAGCTGCTGCTGTCTGCTGATCGCTGGTTGTCCCTGGAACACTGACCGCTGGTCGTCCCTGTCTGGAGCCGCCTGCCGCTGAGGGTCTGCAAGCTGCTTACCGTGAGTGTCCTGAACTGTCCCCGCTGTGTGCACTGACCACCCGTGTCCTGATCTGTTCCTGCTGTGTGCACTGACCACCCGTGTCCTGAACTGTTCCTGTTGTGCGCACTGACCACCCGTGTCCTGAACTGTTCCTGTTGTGTGCACCGACCACCCATGTTCTGAACTGTCCCGATGTGTGCACCGACCACCCGTGTTCCGAACCGCCCCGCTGTGTGTGCACTGACCACCCGTGTCCTGATGGCATGCCCAGAGTATAGCTACCTGTGGTGCCCCTGAGTGCTTGAGCCATCGCTACCTGTTGAGTCCCTGTGAACCCAATGACCCTAGAAAGCTGGGTGGGAGCTGTGCTGTGGCCAGTCTCCACAGCTAGAGTCCCGTTGAGTCCCCGAGGCCCCTGCCCAGTGGTAGGTTGCCGCCTGTTGCCCGAAGCCCCTGCCCAGTGGTAGGTTGCCGCATGTTGCCCGAGGCCCCTGCCCAGTGGTAGGTCGCCGCCTGTTGCCCAAAGCCCCTGCCCAGTGGTAGGTTGCCGTCTGTTGCCTGAGTCTCCTGCCCAGTGGTAGGTTGACGTCTGTTGCCCGAGTCCCCTGCCCAGTGGTAGGTTTCCGTCTGTTGCCCGAGGCCCCTGCCCAGTGGTAGGTTGCCGCATGTTGCCCGAGGCTCCTGCCCAGTGGTAGGTTGCCGCCTGTTGCCCGAAGCCCCTGCCCAGTGGTAGGTTGCCATCTGTTGCCCGAGGCCCCTGCCCAGTGGTAGGTTGCCGTCTGTTGCCGAGGCCCCTGTCCAGTGGTAGGTTGCCGCCTGTTGCCCCTGCCCAGTGGTAGGTTGCCGCCTGTTGCCCGAGTCCAATCCGGTCCAGTCACGGAGGGAGCTTGCCCCCAGTGGTAGGGGGGGAGATTGCCACCTGTCGTTGCCCGAATAGTCTCCAATCCGCCCTGTCCATTGTGTCTGTCAATTTGTTGCTTCAATAAAGTTTGTGTGTTCCCCATCTTCTCCGTGTGCTCTGTTCTGCCTACGCTTCCGTTACAAACCCTATGTCCTGTAATAATGTTAATCCTTTATTTCAGTTTAGCACATGATCTAAGATGATACTCCATGGTGTTTCTAATTGTATTCAGCACTGTCAAAAAGCACATGATGTGCATCCTTAGTTCCAGTGAAGGGAACTCTTAAGGCATCAGCATACCAAGGCATTTTGGGCAATTTCATGCTTCCAACTTTGTGGGAACAGTTTGGGGATGGCCCCTTCCACTGTTCCAACATGACTGTGCACCAGTGCACAAAGCAAGGTCCATAAAGACATGGATAAGTTTGGGATGGAAGAACTTGACTGGCCTGCACAGAGTCCTGACCTCATCCCAATAGAAAAACTCTGGGATGAATAAGAGTGGAGACTGCAAGCCAAGCCTTCTTGTCCGACATCAGTGCCTGACCTCACAAATGCGCTTCTGGAAGAATGGTCAAATATTCTCATAGACACACTCCTAAACCTTGTGAACAGCCTTCCCAGAAGAGTTGAAGTTGTTATAGCTGCAAAGGGTGGGACAGTTCAATAGTGAACCCTATGGATTAAAACCGGGATGCCATTAAAGTTCATGTGCGTGTAAAGGCATGCATCCCAATACTTTTGGCAATATAGTGTATCTAACCAATTTGCATCAAACCAGGCAGAAAACTTATACTAAGTCTAAATAAGGTTGTATAGTCGCACTGTAATGTCTGTGGTGAACTTTAGAGGTGACTTCCCACAACTTTCTAGAGACTTCTCCCTTCTTTTTGAAGACAGTAAGAAAAAATGATATCCTCCACTGGGAAACAGACAAAAAAAAAAGAAAAAAAGCAGACAATAGCTTCAACCCTTCCCATACAGTATCCAAAACTAAAAAAGTAATGCATGTTTTATTTGCTACAATGTACAAAAAAAAATCAGCCATATGACTGTTATTTTTAGTTTCTGACGGTCCTAATTTCTTGTTTTTATGGCAAATAATAAATGTTATAGTACAATAAACACAGCTACAGTTTGAGTGAAGATTCACGACTCCTTTAGTAATTCAACTCCAATGACAGACAGAGGTAAACTATGAGTGCACATCCATTGTGGAGACACAATGAAAAATAGATTCTGTGAGTCTGCACCTTCCTTGTTTGGTAACATAATGATAGATACAGTGTAAATGACTAGGGGCAGAGTTCAGCAAAAAAAATAAAATACGGTTTTGCAGATATGGACAGGATTTGGAACAATTGTTTGGAAGTATGAACTGTTTTCTCAGAGTTCCATTGTATCTAAATCCTGAAATTGTTAAACTGCGCCATTATTAAATACAACATTTAAACAAAGACATTCTTATTAGACAAAATGTGGAAGCCAATTCATCTGTAAAATATCACACTAAACAAACATAATATCAGGGTATTCTCTGTAATCTAAGAAATGAAAAAAGAGATACAGTACCTTTAACCTTTCGGTCACCCCATCTGTAAAGCTGACAGTGAACTCAGCAATTTTCGGCACTCGTATCTTCTTGTTCTTTTGTTCAGACTGATACTCTGTCCTTGTCTTCACAACCACCTAAAACACAACAAAAGTGTTAGCCTGGAACATGGGAGGATAACTGAGATCTAAAGTGTTCGCAATTAAGGAAAAGGTTCAGGTCGCCGCTACAGTGGGTTCAAGGTGAATCCTGTGTTCACGGTTTACGGACCTATCAAAATAATGCAGGAATTCACCATAGTAAACAACAATATGGTACCAATATACCAAATTTCCTGCAAAGGCAATTTAAAAATAAAGCTTTTGCTAAAAAAAAAGACAGGTGACACTACTGCACCCTACTACTGCCTTCAGGAATAGCTGGGTACTTGAAATCCCATGTGAATATGCTGCAGCAATGGGCTGGAATGCATTCTCACGTGATTTCAAGCACCCATATATAGCAGGAGGCAGCTGTGCCTCTTGAAAGCATCAGAAACAGGAGCTAAGCTTTTTTGTTTTAGCAACAGCTTTATTTTTAAATCACCTTCTCAAGTGATTTGACTTTGAATGTGGGGCTTTCATTCATATGAGCCTTCTATTTTCATGGAAGTCCTCTTTAAATGGTGATAAAAGTGAAATATGCCTGGCCAATGCATGTGCATGTAAGTGCAGAAGTTTACAGTTGCGTTTGAGAGAACTTGTGACAGAGTTATTGTAATTGTGGGACACAGAGCATTGTCACTCCATAACAGCTGATGTTTTCTATATAGCATGCAGATGGCATTGCACACTGTACTTAACTCCAATGTAAGATGAATGAAAAACTGGGTTCAGCTCAGATCCCAGCCCATCGGTCATACCCCATGACATGTTTCACCCACATCGGGCTTAAAGCGGTAGTAAATCGCAAAAAAAAAAAAATTCCCTGCAAAATAAATGTGATAATGTGCTAGTATGCATCACATATTAGCACATTGTGAAAGACTTACCTTAGAACAAAGCCCTCCAGCAGTGCACTGTCACCACTGACAGGGCTTCCATCTTCACCCAGTCTTCCTTCCAGGTTTGCCGGCTCTGGCAGCTTGATTGGCTGAGCTGCAATGACATCACTCCCGTGCATGCTTGCAGGAGTCTCGGCTGTGGCACAGAGCTCTGAAGGAACGGCACGGGTATACAGTTCCTTTAGAGCACATGCACTGGTGACGTCATTGGCTACAGGCACACTGAATATCTCCTAAACAGTGCATGTTTAGGAGATATTCCTTGTAGCTACACATAAGCTTTATTACAGGGGACTCCAAACTGCGCCCAAGGGCAGGATGTGGCCTTTTGCTAGCCTTTATCTGGCCCTTGGGCCACTATTCCACCCACTGACACCAACAAAGGGACACTATTTTTTACACTGAGGCCAATGATGGGGCATTATTCCTCCCATTAATACCAATGATGGGTATTAATGGTAGGAATAGTACCCCATGTTTATTTTCACTGATGCTGGGCCCAGGACATTCTCTACCGGTCATTCTCTACTGGTCACAATCCGGCCCTCCTAAAGTTTGAAGGACACTAAACCGGCCCTTTGTTTGAAAAGTTTGGAGACCCCTGCTTTATTATAAGCTTACCTGTAGGTACAAGTGTCCAGTTGGCGTTTACTTCCACTTTAGTTATTAATTGCTCGAGCTAAAGCTGATGGTTACTGCCACCTGAAGCTACACTGTTCAACCACAGTACAATATTTGTGGCTACCATCTCTCAAAACATACACTCTAATTTCTATTTGAAGATAAAACCTGTCACAACTCCCTGTTATTGAAGCCTAATAAAACTGCTTACATACTGTCCAGCCATTTCAAAATGATTTTCTCCTTCTTTTATAGTAATACCCTGTTAGTTTTAAACAGCGCATAAGAAATAAATCTGTCACTTTATTGTGCATATGCTATTTAGGAGAATATTAAAATGTTAGTCCACCTAAACAATCATTTCAGTTTTTGGTAGATACTGAAGAGTCAAACCACCTGTCACTTCCTTAGAAACCATATGGCCAAATATTTGTGGACACCTAGCTATCACACCTGCATTTGTTTCTTGGACATGCCATCCCATCCCAAAACCATGGACAGTAATATAAAGTTGGCATCCCCCTTGTGGCTGTTACTGCCTCTACTTTTCTACCAATGCTTTCAACAAGGCTTTGGAGTGTGTCTGTGGGAATTTGTGCTCATTCAGCCAAAAGAGCACTTATGAGGTCATATACCCTTTATTGGAAACATTTGAACTCAATACTTTGGAGGAGAGGGTGCCCACATACTTTGGTCCATATAAATAGGTTTATGCTGTGGCCATTTAAAAGGGGATTATACTATCATTGTTGGAATATTTATTTAATTATAATTTTAAGTGGCACCAATATGCACAAAAATGATGGTATACCACTAAATATATGTTTTAATCTTTGATAGATGCAATCTGTCTTATATTATTATACTAACAAGATCTGAAAGTGTCTTTAGTTATACTCTCATCTTTGGGAGAAAAAATTGTCAAAAATTATTATTGTGTTTGTTCAGTTTTTTGATACTACATAATCTTGAGATACAACAGAACTGATGAAATGATTGTTTGATATTCTTACTTTACAATCTTTTTGGCTGTATCCATCACACTTTGGCTTTTGTACAATTTCTTTGTACTATTTACAATAAAAGTTTGTAAACAAAAATGGTGCATGTACCATTTCTACCATTTTTAGTACTACACCACAACACATGTCAGTGTGTTGTTGCACTAACAGTGGCAAGAAAAAGTATATGAACCCCTTGCAATTAATTGGTTTTCTGCAGGAATTTGCCATAAAATGTGGTCTGATCCTCATCTAAGTCACAACAAACACAAACAATTCTAATTTCCCATGTCTTTACTGAATACACCCATTAAACATACAGAGTGCTGGAGGAAAAAGTAAGTGAACCCATAGACTAATTACTTCAACGAAAGCTTGTCAGTAGTTTACAAACCTGGAGTTCGATTACCGAAATGAGTTTGGAGGTGTGGTTTAGAGCTACTTTGATTGATAAAAGACACCCATTTTCAGATTGTTGTTCTTAAGAAGCATCAGCTGATTTGAACCATGCCTCGCAAAAAAGGAGCTCTCTGAAGACATACAATCAAAAGCAGTTGATCTGCATAAGGCTGGAAATATATATAAGGCAATCCTAAAGTGTTTAGGCATCCTGCAGTCAACAGACAAACTGTCTATAAATTGAGACAGTTTATTACTGTGGCTATTCTTCCTAGAAGTGGGCACCCAGCCAAAATGACTCTCAAGGCACAATGCAGAATACTCAGTGAGGTAAAGAAGAACCCATGAGTAACAGGCAAAGGTTTGAAGACATCACTGGAACTGGCAAACATCCCTGTTCATGAGTCTACTATATATACGTTTTTGAATAGATGAGGTGTCAATGAACCCTCCAGAACACCCCAGAGGAAGCCAGCGATCTCCAAAAAAGAAAAAACCGCTGTTGCGCACTTAAGTTTGCCAAAGAGCACCATGGCAAACCACAACGCTATTGGGAAAATGTTTTTTGAACTGAAGAAAAAAGTTAAATTCTTCAGAAAGTATACTCAGCACTATGTATGGCACAAAAGGGCACACTTTACCACCATCAAAACATCATCCCAGTGGTGAAGTATGGTGGAAGGAACATCATGATTTGGGCTTGCTACGCTGCCTCAGGGCCTGGACCACTTGCCATCATCAACGGGAAAATGATTTCCAAGTTTACCAAAATATCCTATAGGATAATGTCAGGGTGGCTGTCCGCCAGCTGTGGCTTAGCAGAAGTTGCGTGATGCAGCAGGACAATGACCCTTCTTCAGAAAGAAAAAATGTGCCTTTTGGAATGGCCCAGGCAGATCCCAAAATGTAACGCCATAGAATAAATTCAAGAGAGCCATTCACACCCAACATACTACATAATTTGCCTGAGCTGAAGCAGTTTTGTAAAGAGGAATGTTCAAAATTTCTCCTGAATGTTGTGCAGGTCTGATCCAGAGCTACCGAAAGTGCCTGCTTGATGTCAATACTGCCAAAGGAGGTTCAACCAGCTATTGCCTGCAGCTTTAACATTAGCCTTATTTACACTGTTGAATGGCTGTGGGGGATTGGGGTGTAATATGCCTTAAACCAGTGCACTTTGTCCCCTCCTCCTTTAACCCCATCGTGAAGCATACAGTGATGGAGGCCACAGTTTGTCATTGATGCAGTCTCATTGGATGCTGGAACTGGGCAGAGGGCCAGAAGCTCAGCATAGATCTAAAGTGCAATAGGTGAAATCCAGTGGTATAGTATGGGGGGATTTACTAAAACTGGAGTGCGCAAAATCTGGTGCAGCTCTGCATAGAAACCAATCAGTTTCCAAGTTTTATTATCAAATCTTAACTGAATAAGCTGAAGTTAGAAGCTGATTGGCTACCATGCACAGCTGTTCCAATTTTGGTAAATCTCCACCTATGTGTCCAAGTTCAGAAATATCCAAGGCCACATAGAAGTGGATTTACCATTTTAAAGGTAACTGTAGTACCTGAACTATATTTGTTATATTAGATGGAAGCTTTAGCTGTAAGGTTACCATTTGTCCCTGTTTCCTGGCCACAGTCCCCAATATGAGGGGTTTTCCCTGGCAAATGAACATTCCCAGAATTGTCTGCAGAACTGACAATGTTTCAATATTTACATTGCACAGGCATTAATTGGCTCCCAGGTCTGCTTTCCTTTTCCAGATGCCTAAAGAAGTTAAAAAGCTTGCACCAAATCAGTGCATGCCTATCGCCAGCCATCTATATGATTCTGCAGCAGCAGGCAGCATGATGGCTGCAGGAGGGCAAAAATAGAGAAGAGTGCCTGGCTGTCACAGTGTGGTGAGGCTATAATTGCTGCTGCACACACTGAACACAGGAGAGGAGGAACCACTCCAATGTGCTGCCTCTGTGTCCACAGTCCCAGGGGACCATAGCTGATCCTGGCTCTCATGTTTGTCCCCTGATCTCACCCAATAGGAACCTGCAGACCTGGCAGTGTGAGGGAGTTTTAT